TGAAAGGTTATTACTTCGAGATCTTCTTTTTTAATGTTGGCAATTGCAGCTATAAGTTTCCCTCTGAGTACTGCTTTCACTGCATCCCATAAGTATTGGTATGTTGTCTTTTTGCTTTCATTCATCTTAAGGTGTGTTCTAATTTCATTTGTGATTTCTTTTTTGACCCCTTGCTTATTAAGAACATGCTGTTTAATTTCCATGTATTTGGGAATTTTCCAGTTTTTCTTTTGTTATTGCTTTCTAACAACATTCTGTTCTGGTCTGAGGAGATACTTCGTGTAGTTTCAGTCTTTTAAAGTGTATTGAGATTGTTTCTGTGGCCTAACATGTGGTCTGTCTTGGAAAATATTCCATGTGCACTGTGAAGAATGTGTATTCTGCTATTATTGGTGGAGTGTTCTATAAACAAAACACTTAGAGCCTAAATAAATAAATAAATACTCTCCTAATCTTTGCTGGGGAACTTCTCCACCTCTGCCTTAGCCTTCACCTCCTGCTCATATGAAGCCCAAAGCTCAGCCAGAGTCACAAGGTAGGATCTACTCAGGTCTTCTCTGAGGCTGTATCTGGCCCTAGGCTTGTGTGTTGTGCTTCAGATTGCCAAATATAAGGTAGCTCAAAGTATTCCTCTCCCTCCTCCCCTCAAAATGTTCTTCCTTGGCCTCCTTCTGCCCAGGCTTCAGGTCTGTTGATCACTTGCCTGGTCCTCCATTCTTTGCCCCAGGCATCTACAAACTGTATATCTTTACATGCTTTTGCCATTTCTGTAATGTCACTCATCTGCCTGTCAGATTTTGAGCCATCCTTCATTTCTCTAATTCCCTTCAATATTCCCCTTTCCTTTATCTTCCCTTGGATAACAAGTTAGTCTAGTCTCACTCATCTAAAAAAAAAAAAAAAAAGAATCTCTGTCCAATGCCTCTCTTCTCTGAAGAGTTGAGTGCATTCTCTCTCTACTTCAACTTCATTTTGCTGCACAAACACCTGCATTCTGGTTGCTAGGAAACCTCTGCTCCTTAAAGACAGCATATGACTTCCCAATTGCTATGAGTGGCAAGTGTTTTCTAATAATCCTCTCCTTGCATCTTTCTGAGAAATTGTTCATTGTTAACTTATCCCTCTTTCATGAAACACTTGTTCCCCTTGACTTCCATGACATTTCCTAGTTTATCATTCCTGACATTTATCATTCTTTCTTCTCTTTCTCTTTTATAGTCTTGATGTCTTTCTCTTATTCCTTCAACTCCAGTGTCCCCCATGGCTTAATCCTCCACCTATTGTCCTTTCTACACTCTGTCTGAGTGATCTTTTCCACACTCACTGTTTCAACATCATCTATACACTGATAACTCCCAAGTCTGTTTCTTTAGCATTTTTGTTTCCCTCTCCAAGAAGAGGACTCAGATTTCCTATTGCCTACAAGATGAATATATAAACATCTCGTATGTACTAAAACAGAAACTAAACTATCATTTCCTCCTACATTCTTGGTAAAAGATGGTATCACAGTTGTCACTAGGTTTGATTCCTGAGTGTCATTTTAAAGTCCTTTCTGTCCTTCATCACCAACACCTGGATAACCATGCTGTTCTACCCAGACTCCTGAAAGGAGACACTCAAGTTTGCTCAGTTTTCTCCATCCACATTGCCAGTGTCCAAATCCAGGCCTGCATCATTCTCTCTTAGACCACTGTGCCAGCATCCTCACCAGTCTCTCTTGCTCAGTTCTATTATCCCTTAATTCCTTCCCTCAGCTGCCAAATGCAAATGTGATCACATCCTTCCTGCTTTCAGTTCTTCAATGGCTGCCTGTCACTTTCTTCACTGATCTGGTCCCTACAGACTTCATCTGCTGGTACCTCCTGCCTTTAACTTTATGTAACAGCAACTCTGGGCTGTGGCCATCCCACTGCTACTCGCCATGCCTTTCCTCACCTCCATGCCTTCCCTTCCTCTCCAACTCCATTACTCCTACTTACAGCATCACTGAAGTCTTTGTTGGATCCTCGAAGTCCCTACCCTGAGCCCCTGGAACCACATGCCTGTGGTTGCATCCTTATCCTGTTTCATACTGATTTGTCTCTGTCTCTTTCTCTTTGACTGGGTTGGAAGCTCCCTGTATACCCATCACTTGGCTCTATTCCTGCCACATGGTTGACCCTCAAAGTTAATGGCATGAATACATGAAGATGTAACACATAGATTTTCCCCCTTACCATGGGAAAGGACTGGGAAAAGAGAAATTAGAAGCAGTAACTAGAAATGACTATGAGAAATGTTTCAAATAGAAAACATCACACTGCTAGTTAATCCGATTTTTTATCATGGTATTAAAAGTATTTTTAAGAGTAGCATTTGATCTTTATGGAATTCTAAACTGGGAGAGAATATTATTAGGGGTTGTTTCAACGTCCAGTTTTTAACATAGAATAAATTTTTAATGGTTAGTTTTAAAATGCCTTTAAAAATAGTTTCATGTATCTTAAACCATCATTGGACAGCGAGCTTTCCAATATTTGAACTTGCTGAACTGAAACTACTGAACTCCAATACTACAATAAGCTCAAAGGAAAGGGCTGGAGGTTTGATGTGAAGACGATGTGGCGTTGCCTAGTAACTTACCGGCGGCATCTGCATAGCCTTACCCCTGCTGCCTAACACTCTAGGTAGCTGGGAGCAAGGAACCTTACTTTAGAGGTATTGATATCTCTGTCACCAAGAAGGCATCAATTTTACTTGCCTTCCTCACTCTTGCTGTTTAACAGTTTAATCAGTTCATAATGATTTTAAAATGTTCAAGATTGGTCAGTACTATTAAATGTCCAACCCACTGGAAGGGCTTTTACATTATATGGAGATACAGAGGGTAGAGAAGGAGAGGGAGATTAAAGGCAGACAAAACAAATTATTTTACTCCCTAGCCTGGTGAAACGAGAAGGAAGATTGATATCCAATCCTCCAGGGACGGCTAAGAAAGAACAAGGAAACAGCCACAGGTAGAAAGACACATGACTTTATGCTGCTGGGAACTAAACAGTCAGACATACAAACAGCATCACCTGTAAGTTACCAAACTCAAAACCAGAATCTAGCCACGGAGCAGAGCAATCACCATCATCATCGTCATCATCACAATGAGTAATAAGCCAAGTCTGCCACACTGGCCAGAAAGTCATCTCCACATCCAGAGAGTTAGCAGAGGAAAGCAAGCTGTCAGAGTTGGAATGTGGGGATGTGACTAAAATAGTCCAAAGGATGGATGTAAATAAAAAATTTAGAAGGGTTGAAAAGTCAACATAAGGCAGTGATTCTTAACTGGGAGTGATTTTCCCACCAGAGGGACATTTGGCGATGTCTGGAGAGATATGGGGTTGTCACTGCTGGGTGGGGACAGGGTGCTACAGGTGTCTGGTAAGGCGAGATCAGGGATGTTGCTAAACGTCATACAATGCACGAGGAAGAGGATCATCCCATCCAAAATGTCAGCTATGCTAAGGGTGAGAAACCCTCATCTAAGGGAATTTTTCAACCTGATGAACAACCCCAGGGAGATTGACTGGATTTACCAAGGGCCACAGCACAAGCCCTCTCCTTAACCTGACCAAGTAGTGAAGCCCGCTGTGCCAGCTTACAAGATTCCAATTCCATATTCTGCAGCCTCACGTTGGTAGCTTGAAATAGGTTAGTTACACCATGGAAATCAGCAAATACCACAAAGCAAGCCATTGTGCCTCCACACTCCACATCCTGAAAAGCTGGTTTTAAACATTTACCACCACGTCACTGCTTCTCAGTTACTGGAGGAATGAGACTAATCCTCTGGCACTTTTCTGCCCTCCCCCTTCCTCCCTCCTCCTCCTCCCCCCTCTTCCTCTCTCTGTTTTTAAAGGGCACTACCCTTAAACACACAAGTGAAAGTCTCTCAGTCCTTAATCTTTGTGTTTCCAGCCTGAAGTCCTCAGAGGACAGCACATGTCAGCATCACCTGGAGGGCTTGTTAAACCACGATGGCTCAGTCCCCCCTCCAGAGTTTCAGGTTCTGTGGGTCTGTGGGGCCCAAGACTTTGCATTTCCCATAAGTGCTCCAGGTGAGGCTGATGCTGCTGGTCTGGGGACCACATTTTGAGGACCACATTCCATGCTGTCTGAGAATGGCCTCGCTGACTCATATCACTTTGTCTTTGGGAGGCAACTCAGTGGGATTTAAGGTGATGTTTCCAGTTCTCTCAAATATTCACATAAATGAAACTTTGCAAGATGTGAACCATCACCTTGTTTGGGCCGCCTGTATTTTTAGCAGTTTTATTTCTCTGGCATCGGATCCTCTGAAGGTGGATCTTAGGCTAATCGTGCATGACAGTTAATGAAATAATGCCAAGTGTGGAATGTTAAGTAACAGACTGAGTTTTCAGACTCCAACCAGAGCCTCTCTAGACCAGTGGTCTAGGAACATAGGAACATAGGAACATACTGACAAGAAAATTTTCTAAAAAATATGAAGAGAAAAAAAGTTCAAAAGTGAAATTAGAAAAAAAATATTTTTTAAGATAGAGAAGATGAGAAAAAGATGAGTTTTTCCAGTGCTGATGGGAAGCAGTGTGGCTGCCAATGTCACAGGCGTTCAGGTGCCACACGCCCCAGATAGGATTGTCTTTCCAGGCACCCGTTGTTCATGCTCTGAACCAGCTTCAAAGCAGAGCTCTGCTCTTCCCTCTGCTCCCGGTGGAGAAGGTGCCAGCCCGAGGCAGGAGTGAACCATGTAAAGTGTGAGAAGGGTTTCTGTGGCATAGCACTCAGCATTTTGCTCCCCACATTCCCCATCAATTGTCTGTTTCCCAGTTTCTCTGCTTGGCTACCAGCTCCAGAGCTTTCCTCTCTTCAATCACTCTCCCCGCCTCCAGGAAATCATGGCTGCCCTTTTCTTTGCAAAGTTAAACAGTTTAGCAGGTCTCAGTTTCCTTAAGCCCAGCCACCAGTGGCCCAGGCTTACAGAAGACTCGGTAGAGCACATCACCAAAGCCGGCCACTTGCAGAGGGATGTAACTCTAAGGGTCCTGGGAGAACAGATGGAGCGCTCCACTGGTGTAAGTCGAGAAGAATTTAACTGAGGGACCGTTTACAAAGGCATAGGGAGGGTTTCAGGGAAATCTTTTAATTATACACTTAAAATGCGTGAATTGTTTATGTAAATTATATCTCAATAAAGTTGTTAAAAAGAAATCTTCCATTGTACATAAGGTAAACATCATACCATTTTACCATTTATAGGATATTTTTTAACAGCATGTTACACATACCACAGCCTGCAAAGTGAAAACAAAACAAAACACAAGGTCTAGGACAGCATGTATGCGCTTGTATGTTCATAGAAATTTTTCTGCAAGGTAACATAAGAAATTGGTAATAGAGATTTTCTCTGGGGAGTGGGAATGGTGTGGAGACTTCCCCTGTAAACCCTTTTGTATCTTTAGAATTTAGTGTCATATGTAAACTTTCAAAAGCATGAGTTATTAAACATTAACATTTTTAAGTATCAGTACACCACAAACCAAAATATACACTTAATATCAGAGATGACCTTTCAGAAAATAAAAATTGTGGAATTTTTTCCCTGTGGACAAGACTGTCAATAAGTGATCCTTTCAGGTCTGATATTTGGCCCTTTGCGCTAAGAACAATTTATTCACCTCCACTCGTGAGCTGTTTTTCACAGGGGGCTAAGTTTTAATTACATGGTTAAGTTCAAGATCAGAGATTCACGTCTTTCTGGTCTGTCCTGCCTACTTTATCTGCGCAAAGCGGGAAATAATCTTCCATGCAAAGTGTTCCAGGGAAAGCTACTACATAAACATTAAATCATTGAGATAATAAATGAGATTGGGAGATGGGATGGGGAGGCCTGATTTATATATCTGCACTAGTACTTGCAGGACTATAGTTAAAAGGGAAAATAATACATTACACTATTCTTTTTAACAACGTTGGCTGCTGTGGAGGACACTTATATAACTATTGATCTCTCTTTACTCCCTCTTTGTTGTTGTTCTAAGGGTGTCATGCAAATTGAGAATAAGGTGTTTTTCTAAGTGCAGTAAGATGTCATCATAAAAGAGAGTTGTATAATGAAGCAGTTGGTTTTTTTAGGAAAAAAAAAACCCCAAAACCAAAAGAGATTTAACTGATCATTCTTAGAATACTTTAAAGACCCAAAACACATCAGTCATTAATTCTGTCCCATCCTTTCTGCTGGGCTGTGTGGTCCTGGCTGCTGTAAACTCTGCACAGAATGTGTTTTTTGCAGCCAGACCCCTCCACTGAAATAATATTCTATAATTGCTCAGTCCTTATGGCCTGAGAAAGCTCACCAGCATCACATTTGGGAAACTGTCTCACCATATCCAGCTACTCACAGTATCTGGCCAGTCAGCCAAGCAACAACCAAAAAGCGTCTGGGTCTTTGCACAGAGTCACTGCGGTGCACTATAGAGATCTTTGGGGCTGGCTTGGGAGTGGGGTAGGAGAAGAGGATTATTATTTTCTGAAAAATGTGTTTCTTTAAATCCAGTGCTTTTAAAAGTGAGCTTTTTATTTAAATGAGTTGTAGCCAAAAGAAAGAAAGTACAGAGAAGCATTCATTAATGACAAAGCCTCCTGCTGGTCCCAAGCTAGTCTATTTCTAAAGCAGGAGGCAGAAGAATTGATTCAGACTCGATATGCCCCAGTTACATTTACTAGGACATTATTAATTTGCTTAATGATGTGCTGTCACACAATTCTTACATGCAGTCGCCAGAAAGTGAAGATGCTACAACTTCTAGTCTGCAACTGTGATTTCTACTTCATTTCGGGGGAAGCATGGAAAAAATAGAATAGGTAAGGACATTTAATCAAGTCGGAGCCTCACAATTCCTATTTAAAGCAGCTTTCAACCTCTTTGAATTTACGTTAAAATTAAATGTTTCTCTGAATGAACTGATGTATCTTAATACATAAGTGTATGTGTGTGAACTTAATCATCTACTTTCCTATAAAACAAAACATATTGGTAGCTCACATTACCTACTGAGGTAACCTGGCAAAATTGTTTACTGTCCTCCCCAAGTTTTTTCTCCTAATACTTTTTGCTCTAAGTACATTTGATCATGGATGTCTACTCCTCATCCCAACAATGGATAACTGTTAGCAGCACCAACGAAGAGGAATGGGGGAAGGAGAGTGCCAGCTAGTCAAAGGTGTAAGTAGACGCACAGCCATGCTTTTCTCGCTCTCAATCTCCAAACCCAAAGTCACATGGCAGATACAGGTGGGAGCTGAGATTCCAACCAGCTGTCTCACACTTGACCCAGCATTTGACCACTGTGCTCTAATGATCAGGTGTGACTCCTCGACACCCTTACTCACTCTGGATATTATTATTTTGCCGAAATTTTGCCAAGCTGCGGTGTGAGATGGCAAAAGAACGGTGCATGATGAGTTTTAAAAGCATTTTCTCTATATCCAACTTCCAGGGGAGACACACTGACTGGTAACTGGTGACTAGGAAAGCTCTATGTCCCCCAAAGGTGCCAAGGATGATAAAGGCTCACGTTGCCTTCTACTGGGGACAGAGGTATAAGGAACAAACTAGCAAAATATTGAGGGACAGAAGTCCTTGTCAAAAGGTTAAACCAGGAAATAATTTCCCAGTTCCAGTGCCCTCATTGGAAAAGGATCACTTAAAAAAATTTTTTTTGCCATATTTCGTGAACATATTTTGTGCTTTGTATATTCTAAATAAGACCTCAAAATCATAACACATTGCAGTTTGGAGAAAGCCTTCTTATACTCTTTGAATTTAAGAAGACAAAGAGAAAAACAGTTATATGAATAACATGTGGTAAAATTCTGAATACAAAATGAGTATTTACTCATTAATGGATTAATGGAACTAATATTTATTCCACAGCTATACACAAACTAACAAAAGGTATTCAGAAAGGGCATCTGAATTTGTGTGGTCAATAGAATGTTATTAGTTGTGAAAGTTAATCTTCTAATAAAAGTTAGTATGCGTTCAGTGAAAGAGAGAAAGAGAGAGAGGCATGGTCACTATAATCAATATAAAAGGAATTGAGTTTAGTGTTTGCAAAGCCAGCATGAAGTGAGGGAGGGAGCCTTGTCGGTCCGCTAGGGGAAGAGCCCAGACAGGGGACAGCACAGCTGTGCACAGGGCCAGGGGCGGAGCCTGTTTGATGGCTTCAAGGGACAGTCAAGAGAGCTGTGTGGCTGGGGCAGAATGAGTTAGCAAGAGGGCAGGATGTTTAGAGGGGAGCTAGAGAGGCCGCCAGGATCATGTGTCACCTGGAAGACTGAGATGAGGATTTTGGAGCGAGCCTACCTCCCAGGAATCCTGCAAGAGTGAAGTGAGGTACCCAGCAGAAGGGTAAGCTCTGTCCCACCCTGCTCTCCTTGCTGTCCCCACTCTCAGACAGCACATTAAGAAATTTCTTGACTGACTCCTCCAACTGAGAAGTTCTTTTCTACTTAAGTAGTCATCTGATAAGGGATCTGACATTTTTCCATTGCTGAAGGGATGGCATTTAAGGGGTTGTATCAGATAAACTCCATCAAAGTAACTTTTCATAAGGAGAATACCTGCTAGACCAGGATGCCGCAGAACAAGGTTATACCTGCAAAACCTGCAGAACAAGGATACCTACTTGGGTTGGAAATAAACCTCTTGTCCTATAGTCTCTCCTCCCCAGTTAGTCATCTCTGAAGACTCTCCTGGACACTGGAGAGGGGCATGGCCAGATTCTAGAAAACTCTCATGTCTTTCATTTCCAAAGTGGCCCTATGACTGATCGAAGTCAATGGACCTCGAATGTACTCTTTGTTTGAAAAACATTTTATTGACTGAAAGGAACATAAAATGATGCTATGTATGAATATATTGCCCGCAGATGAATTCTCATTCTATCCCTAGGACTGTCTATCAAACATCATAAATATTTGCAAATTTCTAATTAATCTGCATCAATTTTATCATTCCCTCATTTGTGTTCAAAATATATATTTTGGAATGATGTTTCAGCTAGTCACTGCTTTCTAGAAGTTCCTATGATCTGTTCGGGAAAATAGGCATGTAACAGTGGTTATTATGAGGCATTCTAGTGCTGCACTCCAGAAACTCTGACCCTGGGAACTCAGGAAAACTTGCTCTCTGTACCCCACCACCCCTAAGACTGTTCATTTGGTTGACACCTCAAGGAGGAAACTGCTATATGTACTGGCTCAAAAATGTCTGCTAACCTGTTTGGGGTGTCATTAATGACCTTGGCTGAGCTTTTCTGAATTCCAAATTAAAACCATTCTTCTAAAAAAAAAAAATGTAAGACCAGAAGAAAAAAAATACACACATACATTCTTCTAACCATTTGTCCCTCTGATATGTCTGAGATGGTAATGTCTGGAAGGCAGCAATAAGTGACAAAAACAAATGCGAAAACTCAGCAGGGAAGCGTCCATGGCGGGCTTTTGAGAAACTCAGAACTAGACCTTCAGTTGTCTTGCATCTGTTTGGAGGGTGTGGAAGTGTGTAGTGCAATCCCCACTAGAAAGAGGAAATCATCTGTGGAGCCGTTAGGGAACATTTGCTACCAATTATGCTTTCGCCCTGAAGCCAAGCCCTGAATTCGACTCAGCAAAATGAAATCGTGAACTCTTCCACCAAGTTTGCTTTCATCTCAGGATGAGATTCAATGTAACATGTGGTATTTAGAGTGTAGCCTTTGACACGCCCGCAAGGAAAAGCAGCTCCGTTTTGTTAGTTTCCTTGTGCTTCCATCTTGTTCGGGGTGTCAATAACACCACAGCCCGGGGCCGGCAGCTGGTCACCCGGGGAGCGCAGCCAGAAGTAAGAGCCCCGCCAAGCCATGAACTTCAGTTCAAATGCTCATCTCTGACACAGACAATGCCATCCCTTGTGGTGGGAAACAAAACAGGAGCAGGGCTTTGTATGGCACTTATAA